CAGCAGACATTTCATTTTGTTTTCGAATCAAAGCACGTTTGTGAAATATGGGAAATAATAACAATAATTAGTTTACAATCATTGTTACAAAAATAGTATAGCAAAATACAGCGGATACGACCATTTCGACCACAGAAGGAAAAATAAGTTATCTATTGTGTCTACATACACATTCATTCAATGATGAAGACATCAGGAAAGTCGAGTGCCTGTACGATTTCACCATCGCGTAAATTAACCTTTCTCGTCTAAAGGTGGGCGTATTCCACGTGACATGGCCTGTAACACTAATTATGCATATTTTGCTAATGGAAAATAATAATAATAATTATTATTAATATTATAGATTTGCGATTCATAGGCACAACACAAATCAGAGAATTGGTGAATTAAATAACCATGAAACCTTATGATAGGAGCTCCCAGCATTAGCTTGGAGTGATTTCAGGAAACCATGTAAAACCAAGATCAGGATTGCCGGACCGGTTATGTGACCGGGTTCTCATGATTGCGAGTCCAGTGTTTTACCAATGTACCACCTCGCTCGATATTTCGCAAATGAAAATGTTCTATCGTATTCTCATATGTTATGTATCAGATGATCCTGTAGTGTAAGCAGAAAAATTGAGTGAGTGAGTTAAGAAATATGGGCGGCTCTTAACAGCGAGGTCTTGAGAGTCGGTGAAGGTGATTGAGGTGAGAATTGTATTCAGCAGATGTAATTTACGAGCGCGTACAGGAAAAGAAAGAGCCATATCCGCCTACGAGAAGGAGATGCAGGTAACCGTACAACCCGAGGTGTCGCACCCGAGAGCCAGTCCAGATGGCGTTTTAGAAAAATATGGCATTGCAGAGGTGAAGTGCGTGCCTTCAATTGAATGTGTGCCTATTCGCGAAGCAGCAAAGTCTAAGAAACTCATTATTGAAGAAAATAATGGGAACCTACAGTTAAAAAAATCGCACAAGTATCGGTACCAAATACAGAGGCAGCTCCACATAGCAGACAGTAACTTCTGTGATTGGCAGACATTCGAATAAGCAGAGGAATGCGTGTACAGGAGCCACCGTACGTACTGGAGGCACAATAAAGAGCCAAAGAAAAGAAACAAGTAGGAAATAAAAATGTTACATTGTAAACAATTTTTATTAGGTCGCCTACTTAGAAATGTAATTAATACCATACCCTGAAAAAAATTGGTATTTCTGTAATTAAAATTCACCTTAGTCATGTGTTAAAATTATATTCTCCATTATTAGTGTTTTTGAAGGCAATGTAAAATATATAAATATGTATTTTGCATTGAAATTAAGGAACGATATTACTACGTTGTTTGATATGCATGTTTTTTTTAAATTGTGGTACCTGATATATGGCATTTACATGTATTTCGTATGAAGCAGTACATTATGGTTTTGGATGTTAGTGAAATAAAACGTCTTATAGCTTATGATACTACAAATAACAGGCAAGTTTGTTTTATTATAACAACAAAATGGGAAGAAAACGTTTTTTACAGTAGTGATGAGTAGTACGTGACCGAGAAAGAGGAAAAATTTTATTTTGTTCACATTTTACTAATGGTACACAATTGGCCAAACGATTTTTGTAGCTCTGCTCTGTTTAATTTTTAGCCTCACTGTGCATAACAAGTATAAATGAAAGAGGAATAAAACCATTATTAGGAACATAAATATGTTTCTAATTTGCGAATTCTTTCTTCTAATCTGTTATATACATACAGAAACACCAACACACACGCGCTCAAACACGCACACACACCAACACAAACAAGAAACAAGGTGATCTGATTTGCCACTAATTTAACATTTTTATTCTAACAAAAGAGACTGTCCGCCTCACTATTTACACAAAAAAAATAGCACCAAATAATCAGATATTTGTAATGGTTTGGTAATGAACTTGGTATCTCGAAGGCTGGCACCTGACCGCCTAACCACTCTCGAGCACAGTGAAGGTGAGTGGCCAGCGAGGTAGGCAATACTTCACGAATGGATTTCGCGAAAGCGGTTCACCTAAGAGTATTCCGACAAGACGACCTTTTTTGTTCGTTACGATGTGATGAGTCTTAAGTCAAGTCAACAAATCGCTTACAACTTACTGTTCACATTTTTGTGCGAAAACAGGGTGGCAACCCCTATTTTCATGATGACGGGGGATGATATTACCAACCCCAATTTCACAGGTGTAAGATCTCGGTTCTACAATTTACCGATTTGTTGCTTAATTGTGAGTAGTTTCTGATATTTTTAACTCAATCATACTCACAGCCGTGGTTTTTAGGAAGCGTAGCTCCCTCAATAATCACTTTAGGGAAAAAATGGTACAGACATTTTTGTTCCTATTTTTCATTATATATATATATATATATATATATATATATATATATATATATATATGTATACACACAACAAATCGGTGAATTGTAGAACGGAGATCTTATTATATATATATATATATATATATATATATATATATATATATATATATATATATATATCTTAACGTCTCACTTAATTTCAAGCAAAATAGTCCCATAAGATGTTTTGTAACGAAACGTAAATTATTCTAAGAATTTCTTGGATTTTTAATTTAATACTTCATATTTTACCTTTATATTCAAAATGTTAAGAAATGGAGCACAACAAAATAGCATTATTGCTATGGTTTTAATTTTGGTTACCGCTTCCCAAATTAATTTTATTGCACGAGCTACTTCTGGCTGTAGTCTTACAACATATATAGATGAGACTTCGCTGGAGGAAATTGGATTACTGTGAGAGAACGCACCTAACAACGGCAAAATCCTCCAGGTGTTCCACATGCGGCAATCCGGCAGGCACTTGGATCGCCCTGGTGGAAGGCAAGCGATCCGACTGCTACATTATGCGTCCCTACAAAGTTATGAAACTGGTGTAGAATAAAATTACTTATTCCCCGAATAAATATTACAAATTACTTCCTTCCCAAATATATACTACAATTTATATTATTTAAAAGTTTGAAACAGTATATATTCATAATTTAATATTTTAATATATAATATTACATAATAATCAGCCTCCATATTACGTTATGAAAAACAAATAATCCTGGTGGAGCAATAGTTCAATTTGAATTGCAGTATCTAATAGCTAGAAATAGGAAAATTTCGCGAATTCATTTCGGCACAAGATAGACGTCAAACACATATACAGTGAAGTCACCTTCGCAATTGGATCATGGTTTATTAGACCCGCCCTGCACGCCTCTGAGTCAATAACAGACTTGCAAGTAAACACCTTGCGAATCCCATAACTGCTAGGTGTGGGGTAACATCCAATGAACACACAGCTGAGGCTCCAGTATGCACAGGACTGAGGAGTCTAGCCTATAGTTACAGGTCATTGAACTCGCGAAATTTGCCTATCGCTACTAATAGCTTTGAGTATATGCAGAATGGTACGTTGATCATAATCAATTCCCCGTTCTGATCACACAACAATAATTACACATTTTAGCCAGTGTACAACATGTGAAAAAAATATAAACCACTTGCTGATTTTCTATAGGATAATTATTTTAATGCAGGAGATCCACGGAGCAAACGTGTATGCTGAATAATGATCAAACGTAAATATCAATGTCAAACATTATTTTTCTTTTTCACTTTGTACTACCTGCCATAAAATAACGTCGACTAAAATCCTATATAATATTTATGTTTTAACTGTACCACAAATTAATATTTCGTTTGTGAGGTGTACCGTAATTTTTTTAGCCTTCCTTATTAAAAATTATTTCTTATGACACAGTTCGATAGGAAATAAATGCAGGCCCAAAGAATTCATGGGCAAGGCCCAGTGTTTCGTTTAGCTTCAGTTGCTAATAACTGCTAGCGGGAGAGTTGGAAGAATGTAACGGTCATTGTGAACAAGCATTTCGTCCTGCGGGCCATCCTGTTGTGTGTCACTGCAGGAGGGCAAGCACTTTCCTCCACTCCCCCACACCTCTCCCTCATTATTTTTCACATTTATTCATTCTTGGCCACAGACAGCCTGTCGTCTAACACAACAGACCCTGTTTCAAAGAAGCGAGACACGTGCCTTCCCATGAATGGCGATTGTGTTTTGTTACTAATACGTGTCGCTGCTGTCGCCATCTCTCTTCGAAAGGCTGAAATAGCAGGAGAACTTTCAATCTTCGTCTCTGATGCCCTATCAACAGGTGCGACACTTGCCAAATCTACCTGCTAGGCGCCAGGGAAACCAGCACCTTAAGCAAAATTAATTAATTCAGGATGATATTTACTGATTCAACTTACAATAATCACATCGCGATGTGGTTAGTGGGGTTAGGGATCGAGGTAGGTGTGAAGGACAATATGTAATGGGAGGACAAGGATATAAGGGTCTTCGGGCTACCGCTGTTCAGGGAGGACAGACGCCGGCTGGCACACCGGCCCTTAGCCGCCGTCTCCACCACACTTGTCGTTTACGCCCACCTTCTCCGACATCCTTCACTCCTATTGGATTTCCCTTGTAGCCTGGGCGGGGTTACTGCCGTTAGATGTTGATGATTTTCGCAACCTCACTCTGTCAGCCAGAACCAGACATTCTACGTAATTCTGCAGATTCCTGCATTGTCAGTCATTGCGTTACAGTCCCCGTTGTTTGTGAACATTGTTTTAATAACAGTCGTTGGCCGCATTTCTGCCTTACCAAGTCTCGCCACTTCTTGTGTTTTGTGTTGTAATCGTAACAGTATGAATAATAAGTGACTTTAAAATGTTCTCAACTGAAGTTGGAAAAAAAAAATACTGCAAATATATATATATATTATATATTTTATATATATATATATATATATATATATATATATATATATATACAGAAAATACTACGTGTCATTAAATTTAATACAGAATTTTTTATAACAAAATGAGTATTCTTCTTTTATTCACTTTTCATAGATTTGTCCTACTTCTAGGAACTTCGGTGTGTTTTCTGTAGTCTAGTGGTTATCACGTGCGCCTCAGACGCGCAAGGTCGCTGGTTCGATCTCGGGCGGAAACAAGACAAGAAATTCTTTTAAAGTATGGGCGTAGTTTACATTAAGGTGGTTGTAACGTTACACACAATACTGAGCTTAAATATATACAGTATGTTTTAAAAATGTACTTAATAAACCACATAAAAGAAAGTTCTCTACTTTAAACGCTGATGATAGAAGTATGGGTGATAAATTTGGACAAGAGGACAAATTTTATAAGTTAAGGAGGTAGTGGTAATATGTAACCCTGATAACTTAGTTAAACTCTAGGGAATGTGTATTTAGCTGCTCCCTAATAACGATCAATACTTGTGTAGACCCCTACATAGTTTTTTTTAAATCCCACAAAAATAGTATTGCCAGCTGTTTAATCATGGATAACGCGTGAAGAATTTTCTACGTCGTAAGTTTTAGAATATTGGAAACGTATGTCATTTTCACGTTAGTTGTAAAATGTGTATTACTAGTAGGTACTATGTACATATACAGCAGGGGCCTATTTGATAAAAGTTACAATTCCACAGTTGACAAAAAATTATCAGACAGGTTTACAATCCGACAAATGTGTGTTTCATAAAAACTGACAAGTTCACAAATGTGTCATGACAAATTTGTAGAATTGTATGAGAATTTGACAAATAGTTGTTTCACAAAAAAATTTTTGAGCTGACAGGTAAAAATCCGAAAAATGTGTCAAATATTACACTACACGGTGTTTTATGAAACAAATAAGTATAATAACTCGGTGACGTGTCTACAAATTTGTAGAATGTCACCGCAGAAGTGACAGGCAAACTTTCCTATGAAACCAGTAATTTGTAAGCTTTATATATCATGGCAGTGCAATTGTGCTTAAATATTGTGTGAATTAACATTGCTTGCTAAATAGTACATAATTTTCCTCTCGGATTAGGTTTAATATAGTATTCTTATCCACATTACTCGACATTCTGCTGCTAGAGTGAACAAAGTTATGCGGGTAATTATTTACAGCTTAATTATGTGTGGTAGGAATCGACTGTTCATGAATCACATATACAGTAAGGCTGCGATCGATTATCGTAAGCGCGATTCTAACTGATGTAGAGTGTAATACATGAAACTTACGGTTTTGACATACAATTGTTGCGTTTGTGAAACTGTTATTTTAATGCTGACAATTTACACTTTTTTTTTGCTTGTCAAATAAGAGGAACTTGTATTATTTATGTAACATAACATTGCCATGACATACTGACAAATTTATCAGATTTAACATAATTGTCGTATAGTCACCTGTCACGCTTCATGAAATACGGGTCTGATAGTCCGTTATGTTGTAGACTACAATATCAGCCGGGTTAAATATTTTTACGTGTGTTCGTTTAGAGGTGGGCATGAATTATTTGTAACACGGTGATGTTTGGAATTTGGAACACTCCTACTGCTGATAGCATTGAACTGAAACCCATAACACATACATGAGGCGCACATATGGGGAAAAATGTAATAATTGAGTTGATTGATTACTGACAAAAATTAAATATTTACCGTGAACAGGTAAAATTTTATCATCTGAGTATGTATGCCATTTACGCCTGAAGAAAAATCTGTTCCTTCATCGTGTATGCTCGGTCGTGACATGGGTGTTCGTGGCTGTGACACGGTAAATACAATATCAAAGCGGTGTTTGAGATTTGGAAAAGACACTGAGGTCTGGATTCAAGATATGACGTATCTGGAGCCATACCATACCATCAGACCACTCTCGTGCTTCTGCGACTGAACTGGACTTCTAATTAGTGAGCAGGAGCCTGACAAGAAAGACGCCTGTTGCTTGTTCTGTCAGGGCAAGTTTGGGAATGACATAAAAGGGCAACCATGGGTCCAGTGTTTAATGTGTGGTATGTTTACTACGATTTTTATGGAGCAAAAAAGACCAATATGTTTGTGAGAATTGCTCTTCAATGAATAGTAGTGTAGTATTCTATCTCTTTAAGAAGTGTGGGATCTCATACACACACACACACACACTCACACACACACACACACATATATATATAAAACGTCACAGCAAATTTCGTACTTAATTCAACAGATACGACATGTCCTATTTTTTTCTTCGCAGTTTCCTTACGCGTGCGTGATCAGTATGTTTGCAGAGATGCCATTAAAAAAAAAAAAAAATTTATCTTTGCCCCTTAACAAAAAATGTATGACGGTAGTGGAACATAAAACTATGATAATAAGAGGAGCAGCGTAGTTTCCATCTCCAACAATCCGTCTAAATGTTTACTTTTAAGGGGACCTCTTACCTGGGAATGTTTACCCCGTGTGAGAACGAGAAGTGTGGGAGCAATAAGGGCTCACTGCCGCACGCAAGACTCTGAACTGACGTGCAGAGTTCTATAGGCTGTTCACAGTAAAGTGAGCACTTTTGAGACCCTAGTTGCTTTTTCCTTTCAACCATTTCTTATCCTTTAACCACCTTTTAAAATAAATATTGCTATGTAAGTAATGAACACAGTGTGTATATTCCCCGCACTCGGAAGTTAACGTCTAAGCCTATAATAAAATATATTTATTGACTATTATTCCAAAATGAAAGGACATTAAAAATTGTTCACTTTACCGTGAATTGCCAGTAGTTGTGTTCCCTGTAATTACCGGACTTACCGCAGCAACCCTATCGTTTTATTGGGGGGAAGTCTTATGTGATAAGATTCAGTGCAAACCCTTGGGTATTTTTATATGCAGCCTATCCGTATGTTTTGAGATAAAGAGCTCTGAAAAAGCCTTTTTTTTTTTTTTTTTTTCTAACTTGAAGTGCGTGACGTTTTTTTAAATCGTTCGACAACCCTCGTCCGAAGAGTGTGCTCGTTTCGTAGATCAGTACATTGGATGGACGTTAAATAGTTGGGAGAGGTGGATTGGGGGGGGGGGGCGTGGATTCTAAACACACTGCAATGCAGTTCGATCACCGTGCAGGCGGCAGCCTTAGGAACTTGCGAGTTTTCGCCGGATTATCACTTTATTGATGTACATGTACTCGAGCTACACTCAAGCAAAGCTAATTTCAAAATTTCTTCGTTGTTCAGAGCAAAACTCGCATGGATGTGCAGTTTTTGCTCGATTAGTGTTTAACACGACCTCAAAAGAACACGACAGCGCAGTAACAGTGATATTTCTAACGATATAATTTTTTTTTTCTATAGCCACTCAAAGGGGCATGATTAAATCCTTTTATACGATAAAGGACATTTGAGTGGGTCAATATGAGCTCGGCTCTCCATTGGTTGATGACCGGCCAATAATGAACGCTGTAAAGTACAGGGTAGTATGGACCAATAGGACGATGATGAGTTCTAACACAGACACCAACAGAACCGGTATTTTTGCAATAGTGTATATAGGTGACTCACTTCTAATTCGTCTTAAGTGCCAGTAAATGTATGCAGACCTCAACGTGTTAATTTTTTGCTCTTTAAAATGGCAGCTTGTAATATAATTAAACTGTTTTACTTTTCTTGTTCCGAAAGTTGAGTGTACTCCCAATAATAGTTCTACCCAGGAAGTCTGTTAATTCCAGCGTCGATCAGGCACTTAAGTTTTTTATTTTTAATTTCTTTCCTACAGGGTAGTCAGCATTACATGTTTATTAAACAAACTAACCTGGTTGTATCTAGTCTCACCATTGCTGATTGGTGGGGAGACGTATCATGTTCAGACGACAGCCAATCGGAGGGCAGGAGACACCATAAGTAAGGCAGATGTAAAATAGAACAAAATTTTTTCTTCAGAATAATTGTCACCCCATATAACGATGAACGTGTACAGTATAATATTAAAATTTTCAATATTTATGTTTTAATACAATTGCTGCAATAATTTCTCTAAGATGAATAATTATTCATTGGCGAAGAAGGAATGTGAATTTTATTGTGTTTGGGAAGAAAAAATTATAATTGTATAATTTATGTAATGTATGAGGTAAGTATAACATTAGGAAAGTAAGAATTTGAACTACTGATTCTACTAAATGTTATAAACGGCGCCCAACGTTGTGAATTGCATGAAATGTAACATGTGGCTGGACAGTGGCGGCTGGAGTGAGCGGCTGTTTCACCTCTGTACTCTCCACTTCTCTGTGACACGAGCGTGCGGAAAACTACGCGCGCGGTGCGCGCTTGTGGGCGGGGCTTCCGACATGGCTGCCGCCGCCTGGTGACGTATTGTTGGCCAAGGTCATGGCTCTGCTCTGAAGTGATAAAGTGCTGTCTTCATTTAATGATTTAAAAGGCCGTCTCCTTCTCCGCCCCCCCCCCTCCCCAAAGTATCGTCCTCGTTTTTCTTTCTCTTTTTCTTTAATTTCTTTCCACACGAAAAAAACTTCATTCCTGCCGTAACTTCAAGGACGATTTTTTTTTGAAACTTGCAGCTAAACACGAAATGCGCCATAGTGAACTGCAGTTTACTTTCGCACCTTTCAACGACTGTAGTAGAGAGCGCTAAAGACGACACTGACGCGTCAAATAACTACTTCGTCACCCCTATGTGTAAGGACCTAACTGGCGTGCAGTTTTCCAGTCATGTAGCACACGAGACCACACTATTTTATTATTTTATTATGAGTGGGATGGATTCTACCCCCCTCCCCCCCCCGGTCAAAGGTCAAGATGCGAGGGAGCGATAATACGGGCGACAGTTACACGCACGCCTTGTGGCTCTTCGCTCCTACGAGCAAGGTGAGCAGTGTTTCCGTCGTGACGCTGTACTGTGCAAATTAGATCTGTAGCAGTGGGGTTTTATTACACGCGATGAAAGCCCAAAGATTAAATTACGCTCATATATTTGTACTTTTCTCTTGCCGTTTAAGGTTGAAGTAAAACAACTGCTTCTTTCTGAAGCATCCAGAATAGAAATGCACTTACATTTTTGTCAAAAATACAGACCATTTTAACCGATTATTTATTTTATTTTAAAAATATATTTTAGTAAAATATTTTATAATGTTGCAAAATATATACATTCTTCTTTCATATAC